ATTATATTCGATGAAATGATAGATTTAGCGCAACCAAAAAATTTTTATCTATACTTTCCTTTTTTGTAAAAAATCTTCTTGTTGTCCGTTGTTTCTCAATTTGTTCATTAAATCAATAGAGTAGAATGACAATATCTGCTTGTAGCAAAATACTTTACTAAACTTCCATTAACTATCGAATAATTAACTCCAACTTGTTTACAACCGAGATAGGTCTACTGTACTTTTCATCTTATTGAGTTGGTATTATTTTCAATATTTAGCAGAATTCGAGGTTACAATGCTCCATATATTCTATGATAATATTAGCATTTCCTATTTAACACAAAATAATAGCTCATGATAAACAGAAAAGAGAAGCTATATAACTGATGGTCAAAATCTTTTTTCAAACAAATTTCGAATTTTAATTATTCAGTAATGATTATCTCATAAATCATCAACTCTATGAACATTTATTTCATAGCAACTACCATCTATATGAACAGTTTTTACAACGGTATTTCTATGATCAATAGCTTTTTTTTTCTATTTTGTTCAAATAAGATCACACTAATTATAGAAAATATTGTTTCTATTTTCACGAGCCAAATAAATTTTGACATATGTTCTCATTCAAATCCTCAAATTAAAATATTGAATATCGATTTTAATAATTTTTTTTCTTCATACATTTGTATGAGCCATTCTTATTGAGAACATTTCCTGTATAGTATCTTACTTATATAAAACAAATCGAATAAAATGTCCAAGTATTTTAGGTGTAAGTTAAGGTAAACTTTACGAAGATGTTGTTAATCATTAGAAAAGATGAAACACGAGAAAATTTTCATTCTAGTTAATTGACTTTCCTTGAATATAGCAATGAAGTGCGACAATGATGATACTTTTGTTGAATTGAGTATGGAGACACTAACGTTTTACATTTAACTTGCGAGTCATGTCGCATAGTCCAAGCCGAGGTTCGTACGACTTGAGAACGTCATATGCACAACCTTGCTTCAAATTATCAACTGTTTCAATCGTCGGAATCAAATAAAGTCCCTCATTTGATCCACACTTTGCTTAAGCATCTTTCGAAACACATATAATATTGATACATGAACTTCTGTTGCCAACTGTGCATATCATGTTCGATCGATGACATATTCCCAATTGTAGTCATCTTTCACTTTGTATTATCAATTAACTCTCGTCGATTTTCGTTGACAAATGTAGATAGCGGTTGCTAGATAGAAGAAGGCTTGTAGAAGCCTTTTGATAATACTTTGATTCAACAGAGGTCGAATCTTTCGAATGAGGATGTTTTCCGTTGGAAGATGCAAGAGAATAAAATCAAAATCAATTTAATCTGGTTTATCTGTGGCAGCATATATCCAAACAGACATGTCACATAGGTCTTCAATCACTTGATCAACATCATCGGACATTTGCTATTGATTGCAGTAAGAAAAAAAGAAGGATTCGTACGTTAACAATGAAGTAGCCGGAAAGGGTTCAGGAATACTTGGTGTATTTTCATTGAAGCGAAGAGCTTTGATTATTTGAAGAGCTTGTTTTGTTCCATGTCTTGAAGGTTTTATTTTGCCTAGTCACTGGATGTAAAGTGTCACGGTACACAATAGTCATTGTCAATGCTTCACATGTTACTGTTTGAATTGTTTAATTCAATAGCGTCCCTGATGTGAATAATCGAATGAGTGAATTCATACTAGATCGTATCGATAAGTAGAGATCCTTTCGTTCATGGAGAAGTATTTGAAAAGATGCTTCTTTCCAACCACCTCGAGTGAGGAGTTTTGCATTAAAAAAATCCTGATAGATCGAACAAAATTCAGGATTCTCAAGTGAATCATACTGATTGTCTTTGGTGATTTTTCGTGTGGCGAAGGCTGATATTTTTTGGAGTCATGACGCATATTATTGTCATAAATTTCTTCCATTTGCTTATCACTGGCTCCTAACTATACTAATAAGCTGAGATAATGAGCACTGTGCGAATGAGATAGACCCGTGTTCCACATTACTTGATATTCTTCGAAATTGGTTTTCAGTAATTTATTCAACATAGCTTGCGTCATGATGACGATCGTTGAATAAGCAAAGTGCAATTACGTAGTGTGTCACCTGTGTGATGTCTGTCTACCTTTATTTTTTTTTTCAAACGTTGATAAACGTGAAGTATACAGACAGCTTCTCGTACTCGATTCTTTCATACTTCTTCTCTACTGTAAATTATAGTGAAAAAATAACTTTCGTAGAATGACAAAGCAAAAAGGATGAGAAACAGTTCGATACGTTCATCACAAATATATTCATTGGAAAGAGAGACACTTTGATGAAAACAATTATCAACAAGTCAAAGTAAGTCGAACATGACATATGAGGAGAGAGATTATATCGATGATAACCTGCTGATGAAGGCACCTCTCGATACATTTGCGTTGCCGGATTTGATATTCTACCTTGACAGTCGACAAGTTTCTTCTTGTTGTTGGAAAAAAATCAAGTGCTTTGGCAGCAAGATAATAAACAGCTCGCTCTTCGTTCGTTCGTTCGTTTGTCGATCTTGGATCAATTCTCTTTTCGATCACTATTGATCTAGAACATTCAACCTGTTTATCAGTAACAGAAAAGATCTTAATAGTCAATATGATCATGGGGACTTGATCTCAACGCTTTTAACGACATATTGAAAGAGTTTTTGAATAAGAAAATTTCTTTCTATACGCTTCACTTAGAAATCGAACGATATAATCGTGATTCTAAGAAATATCGACCAAATTTCAATATATTCCAGTTGTTTCTAACTAAGTTTCACCGTTATCTTTGTTCTCTAACTCTGACCATCATTATGGCGGATAAATTAGTTTCCGACTTTGACAAACTTTAGAGTTTAGAAAGTGATTTTTCTCATCTGAAAACATTTAAATATCTCATTTAGATATATCATCAGCCGACTCACTCTTCAACTTGTCACTTTCCACAAATCAAATAATTATTATTCAATTCCAGCTATTTGAGTTAAATATATTTCATCTGCTCTCCAACAATTTCTCTTCAAAATGATAACTCTTACATCTTTGTCTTTTTTCTCTGAAAATAAGTTGTACAAAAGATCACGACAAAAACTTAGTCGAATACGTCAAACAAACGAGGAGGGTCGTTATGAGATGAAATCGGCCTGTTGGAAATTTCCCGTTTTACTCCTGTAAAATAGTCATATTAGGTCTCACAATTCTTCTACTAATATATTCTATATTCTTTGTGTAATTATTTGTGCTAATTCCATAGCTGCTCAGGCTGGTGATAACCAACCATTAGAACTTAATAATCAACAGATGCTTGAATCAATCAAATGACCTATCAAATGAAAAGAAACAGATCGAAATGTAAGATAAGAAAATGGATTATTTTGATTAAGATTTCATCTGTATCTTTTTGAAATTGAGCTAATCATTGAATATGTGATAGATGAGTTCGAAGTAAAAGATTGACTTTGACATGTGGATCATTAAATTTCACATTGATTAATCTATTTAGTAAACGTGTGGAAAGTTAAAAGATGACAAAATGATTGATATGAAGAAGTTTTTCTTGGAAAAATAATCGAGCACATTTGTTTTAAGATATTATCTTCATGATGACGAGTTAGAATATTTTCATATTAAAAAAACGAAGAAGAAATGATAATTTTTTAAAAATTACAGTTCCACTGAAAACTCCAATATACTACAAGCTTCTCCATAAAACTCTGCACCTTTTAATGCATGTTTCACAATTTTAGAAGAAACATTTGGAAGAAAAGATTTTGCAGTAAAAATTGTGAAAACATCGGAAAAAACTCTTTTTTGGCAAGTCTATATCATTGTTGTTTTTAATTCGGCACAATCTAAAAGTTTTCGTTATACAATTTAACAGTTACATCATTTTGTTCGATATTAAATTCTACATCTGACGGCATAATAATAAATGTCTCATAGAGTGAATCTGGCTTCCAAGAACACATTTGAAATCTTTTTCTCCTGAACTACAGCAACAGAAATCTTGAAAAGATCGTGAAAGTATAGAGCGTAAAATTCTCTATATTTTGATGCTAAATACTTTTCTGTTACCATCAAAGTTCATGAGAATAGGCTTACACAAATCTATAGATGTCTGCTGCTAATAGGAAATCGCAGTTGTATGATTGAGGAGGTTGTAATCTTTTCAATTTTATGATGACAGGAAAAACTTATTTGAAAAACAAAGTACATAGTTTTGTAGAGCAAAAATTCTCTATCGAATGACTCTAGAACAAAGTCTTTAGACTATGTTTAAATTGCTCGAATAAAGCAAACAAAAGTGGCCGGTTTAATCTGGCCCACCCGTTAGTCTTATGACTGGGGAAAAGAATAAAAAAAACAGAATGACTATTATAAAACCTTTTTTTTTATTGCACTCGAATCAAATAATAAGAATGTAAAAATGTGTCGTCTACCTTCCAAATATAATGACACCATTCTCTTGTAACAGTATTTGATAAAATTGCACAAGATTGGGAAAACTTTTGCTGTCACATGAGTAAATACATTTTTGAGTTCTTCTTCAGAGTTTCAGAGGGAAATTTTTACACTGAGGTTTTTATAATTGATTAGCAAAGGACAATAATATGCATTAGTAAAATATCAAACATATCGGTAACACCGAGAAGAATTAGATATGTCTGCGATCTAAGAATTACCACTTGTACCGTATTATTTTCTAATGCTTTAACATCTGTAAAGTGCAAAAATAGTACATGATACTAAGAGTCGCATATTCACTATTGAAATTTTCAAAAATAATAAAATACATAGAAACGACTAGATTCTTAAATTGATTGGCTTTCTATAAATTCATCCTTCAGAACAATTGAAATCGATAAGAACAAGAGAAAATGTTTATTAAAACCTCGAATATTTTATAATAAACAACAAAAAGGAAGAAATTATTGATTAAAAATAGATCATTTCATCATCTTATGCTAAATAACGTAATACATCTTTATCATTTGGTTGACGTTCAAGATATTCTTTTTCAATTAATATATCAATACATTTCTAAAATAAAAGAGTTTATTTGAATTCTTTTTTATAATGATTTAATTTACTTTAATAACAGGAATGTTGGGTTTGAAACGTGAACTTAATTGTTGAATAACTTCTTGCATTAATAAAGCATGTTTTAATGTTTGTCGAGCTTTCATTATTCGAACAATTGCTGCTTGAATAACCATTTTACGATCATCATTGATCGTTCGATGAACACCTTCAATATCTTTTTGTTCAACTGATTTTAATGGAACATTTAAATTTATTCGAAGTTTTTTACTAATAAACAAAAAATTTTATTTAGAGATTATAATAAATTAAACAGCATTTACCTCTTAAAATTAGTCGCTAATCGAATGGAATAATTTAATTTAATATCAGTATCTTTTAAATCTTCATCTAATTCATCTTCATTAATATCTGTACATACTAATAATTTACTCTTCAATAAACCAAAAAGAACTTGTAATAATAACTCGGATTTTATTTGTGTTTCATCTTGCATTCGTTCAACTGTCCAATTTAATGCTTTATTAAATAATAATAAAACTACCATTTGATATGTTGACATCTTTTAAATGAAACAATTTATTTTCAGAGTTGATAGATGATCAATTCTTCTTACTTGTAAAATATATAGTACTGCTCAAAAATATAAGACCACTTTATTTTTGATCTTTTTCTATAATGCTAAACAGTTAGCTCAAATTCAAATAGTGATTCTAATAGCCAATGAAGTTTCCTATTTAATGCACTTTATATCAGAGTGTCATCAATGAACTATGATGGAAAGATTTCTAGAAAACCAAAAACCATAGTTTTCAAGTCCGGGAAGACGTTGTTGAAACAATTTTTCGACAATGCCATCTTAAAGAGCTCAAAATTTTGAACAAAATGATGGGCCGCCGCATTTTCTACGACCTTCCATTAAAAAGTTACAAGCATCACAAAAAACAAAAAGAATCGAAATTTATCAAAAAATCGATGAAAATCGGCTAAAAATTCACTCTTTTTGTTTTTTGTGATGCTTGTAACTTTTTAATGGAAGGTCGTAGAAAATGCGGCTGCCCATCATTTTGTTCAGAATTTTGGGCTCTTTAAGATGGCATTGTCAAAAAATTATTTCAACGTCTTCACGGACTTGAGAACTATG